CTAGAAATAAGAAAAAGAATAGGAGTCACAAATGCAGTTGAAAAAATAGCCATGGCTAAATGGGTTTGGGCCAGATATGTTGCCAGATTAACGGATGATAGATGGACCACAAAGATTCTGGAATGTCGACCAAGGCAAGGGGCATATCGAAGCAGAGGAGGACCACCGACTAGATGGAAGGTTGATATTAAGTGCATCACCACAAACTGGTTGCAAGAAGCTCAAGGTAGAAATAGGTGGAAAATTTTACGGGAGGCCTACGTTCAGCAGTTCACAAATATAGGCTAATTGATGACGATGATGAAAAAATTATAAGAATATCTGTCGCTTAAAAATTCGTGGGTCAAATACCCAACTTTTCACGTAATATGAAATGTGTGTATTTACTTTTACAATCGTAATTAATATTGATTGAAATTTAAGAAATCTTTGGTTTTTTACAGTTTTCCCAGCAATAAATGAGCAAATCAGCATACATAAAACGCCACAAACTTTTAAACTTGTTTTATCAGATAATTACCTCCAAACTCTTTCAGAATGCTTTACTTTTTACTGGCGATGACGAAAGTTCTTAAAACGATGCATTTTTGGCCTACCTAATGCATTGATAATAATTTAAAAAGTTTACCGAGTCCACTGTAGAAAACATAGAGGTTTGGGTTATCGAGGTCAATAAATATCAATAAAATTGTCAGATACCTGACCGGGACAAAGTCACAGGGATAATGTATTTCTCTAAACTAAAGATTTATCATCCCACTGACAGTAAAGATAAATAAAATTAACTTTGAAACATAATAGTTATTTTAGATGTATATAATATTTGTCATTACCCATAAAATACAGAATGTAAAATAATCATTTGGTAAATTCAATTATTACATTTGTTTATTAAATTCATTACAAAAATTTTTTATAATCAAAAAGCCCTTTCTAGACATAAGTTTAACAAAGACTAGTAATCAACTTAATGCTTCCTCTACGGTTAAATAATTTTACAGTAAGATTGATGAGTACCAGAATTACTAACATATTTATACTGATGCATCCAAATTAGAAAAAGGAGTGGAATGTGCCTTCATACACAACGACTACACTGCTTCATACACAATTTCAAATTTTAGTACAGTATATACAGGAGAACTATTCTCAATCTACAAAGCATTAGAATATGCACTGAACTCCAACTAAGACAGATGCTGAATACTGTCAGTTTCCGTAATTTCCATGAGTAGCTTAGGCACCATTTTCCCAACTCATCCATTGTTGCCATTGATAAAGAACCATTTGTATCAACTTCAGCAAAAGAATGCGATTGTAAAATTTATGTGGATTCCGTCACATATAGAATGGTAATACATGGTAATGAAAGAGTAAATGCTGCCGCCAAATCTTCAGTTAACAAAGAAGACTTGACAGAACCTACCTATAAGAAAGATTTTCATCACTGGATTAACTCGACGTTGAATGAACTTACGTTGAATGAACAACGTCTTAGACTTTGTTTCCAGAGAATTTTAGTATTTTATATCACATCCTGTGAGTTTGGCAACCAGAAATACATAGTTCTATTACGATGAATTTTAATTATTAAAGTTACATACAATTACATAGTTGTATGCATGATACTATGAATAACAAGATAGGATTTTCCCGTAGCTCAAAATCGGTCGGGTTCGCGCATGCCGTCATTGGAGAGTAGAATTTGAAATCTTGTTAAAGTTAAATGGGATTTGTATGCATTCTGTGATGAAATTACTAGACGAAAATAAGTTAAGAGGTTTAATAATTTCAATAATCGTACACATAAGGATATCTCCAAACTATTTATTAAAGATTATTTATTGATAAATACAAAAAACTGACATTTCGAATGTGCAACTCTCCAATGACGTCACAAAAACATGCGCAATATCTTATCTTATAGTCATAGTATCATGGTTGTATGTATCAGCTACACCTCGGCAACTCTATAAAACTATTTGATTTAGAGTAACTTAGTTGTATGTGTCACATACAGCTTTGTTATTTTACGTTTGCATTTCAAGCAGCTGAGTATTACGCACATACAACTTTGTTACAATAGTAGTTTGTTATGACAGATAGATGTATGAACAATTGAAATAACGGGAAACTATAAACTTGTGTGTACTTTTTGTGAGTAATCGATTAAATTGTGTGCGGATAGGGTTTCTGAACAATGTAATTAATTTATATTTCTAAAATAAGGAGTAATTGAAACTTGAAATACCAAAAATAAAAAGGTGAGGTTAGTTGTTATCTTTTTAAAAAAATGTTTTGCTAACTTTTGTAACGTTTAGGTTCACTCTTATTTTATTTGTAATGGATTGCAAATTGGCTAATGCGAATTCAGATTCTTAAAACGAAAACTTAAAAGATTTAGAGTAAGCCTTTCTTTATTTATTTTATATGGTAAGGAATTTTCAAACAAATTTAATTATTTTAGCACAGTTCCAAAAAGAGAAGTACAGGGTTTCACTGAAACTATAGATAATATATACCCTACTGACGATGAAAATGAAGAAACTGGCATGTCTCTTGGATGTGAAGACTTCATAGATTGCCATGGTTATGATTCAGATAGGGACAGGGAATATGGACCACCTGTTTGTGGAGAAGACTCGAGCTATTCTAATAGCGATGCTGAAAAACCCATTGTTGCTGCAGTTGCAAATAGAACCGAAGATGTGATTACTCAAATCGAGTTATCCAAATCACCAACTCGCAAAAAACAGAGGAACCCAAGTACTTGGAAAAGTAGTATTAGAAAAGCGGCGCATGACGCAGGAAAAGAATACATATCTGTTAGAAGAAAAGTTGCTCCAGCCAAAAAAATAAAAACAATAAAAGACTGTACATCTAAGTGTTTGTATAAATGCCAAAAACTTATTACAGAAGATGAAAGGGGACAGATTTTTCAGCGTTTTTAAACTTTACAAAGAGATGCAAAGAGATTACAAACATGCAAAAAGATTATTTCTATTAGTAACCTCAAAAAAATTCATTGTAGAACGACATAAAAAAAATAAAAATAATCAAAACAGCAGAAGAAAACAGACATTTAATTATTACTTTCAAATAGGCAGTCGAGAAATTCAGGTCTGTAAAACCTTTTATTTGAGCACCTTATCAATCAGTCAAACCCTGGTATGAACAGCTCATTTGAAAAAGGACATTATTTCAAATACACCTGATATACTTGCCCAAGGAAAACACAAAAATATAAGACACCTGAAGAAGATGTCAATTTTGTTAAGAAACACATAGAATCATTCCCTGCAGTAGAATCTCATTAGTGTAGAGCTAATACATACCGACGGTACTTACAGTCATCTTTGAATATTCAAAAAATGTATAATGTTTACTCCGAACTTTGTAATGAATCCAATAAACAACCAGTAAAAGAGTCTTTTTATCGGCAACTAGTTTGCAATGACTACAATATTTATTTTCATGTACCTAAGAAAGATCGTTGTGATCTATATGAAGAGATCAAACTAAAACATAAGGAAGGTATATTATTGGAGGCTGAACAATCAACAGTGTATGATCAGCATATACAAGCAAAGAATGCGGCTCGTGAAGGAAAAACGAAAGATAGAGAAACTTACAATAATTTTTTGGTGTTTGACTTACAAAATGTCTTGAGCTGTCCCCATGTTGAAGTAAGTAACTTTTATTACAAAAGTAAGTTAAATGTTGACAATTTAGCTGCAATATTATCCAAAACGAAACAAGTGTACTGTGCCTTGTGGAGGGAAGCTCTTATGGGTAGAAGTGGCAACGATATAGCAAGTGCATTAATCAAAATTCTAGAAGCTGTTTTTAGAGATCATCCCAATATGAAAACCATAGTATTGTGGAGTGATAGTTGTGTACCACAAAACAAAAATTCCCTGATGTCTGCAGCGATTGCGTCCTTTCTAAAAAAGAATTCAAACATCGAATCCATAATAATGAAGTTTTCAACTCCAGGTCATTCGTGCAATCAAGAGATAGATGCAGTTCACAGCTGCATAGAGAGAGTTTTAAAAAAAGCAGAGTATTATTCTCCGTTATCTCTTTTACAGTTGCTGTTAAAGGTGAGTTCTAGAAAGCCTTACAAGATAATGCAGTTGAAAGAAAACGATTTTAAGCACTTCAAATCGTATGCTCTGCAATATAACTACAAGATTATACCATTTACTCAAGTAGTTGCATTACAATTTTCACAATCAATATTTGAAATGGGACATAAAGTGAGTCACGCACATAGTGACTGGAAGAAAGTATCCATCCGCGATTTTCGGCCTACTAGAACTAACTGCGAAAAGAAAGAATTTATCAAGGAACCAACTCATTCATTAGTCACAAGATTACTTCCTCAAAACATAGTTCAGGACATCAAAAGTATGTTTAACTGGATGCCAGAAGTGAATAAAGCTTATTTTACATATATACTCCCCAAAAACAATATGTAATAATGTATGGTGTGTATACCACGTAAACATAACTTTATAAACACGTTTTTTTATCTTTTTCTGTAAAGTTATAACCATATATTTCACAATTATTTTCGTCACAAAGTTGTATGTTAGTATATTAAATAAAAAAATGAAATTAAATAGTTGTATGTGTTTTTTTGTTGTACAAAAATTTAGAGAAAAACATTGTTTTTCATATTCTTTGTCTTCTAAATGTAAATAAATACATCTATACTATTTAGCAAACTTTAAAGCGATACAAAACTAGGTGTACCCGTTTCTCCGTTACAGTGAAGCATTTTTTATTTTTCATTTTTCTCAAAATTTAGTTTACTGCACATACAACAGTATAATTCTGAGCTAACGAAATGTAAAAAAAGATTCTAAAAAAAGAACAAAATAAGTTGATACGCCCTAATTGTAAATAAAAAAAATCTTATAATCTGTAAACCTTGTACAAACTTTATACGTCTTTAAAACAAAACAATTATTGTCTAATAATAAAACGTAACAAACCTGACAGCTACTATTTCCTGCCACTTGTGTCACTTCCTTCAAACTAGGAACAAATTGATTATAAACTACTTCGGAATTTGTGGAGGCTGTGATCTACTTGCTCTCAGTTAACCTATTGACTACTAAATAAAATAGGGCAGGATGTACGAGTATAGATAGGCCTTTTTTTCTGACGCCACTCAATATGCCACAGATTATCGACACTAATAATACGGGCGATGATAGAAATTTCGGAGATTAATCTATTATATGTATATTATTCGTATGTAGACTATGAATTTTTTTCGTTAATTTCTAAAACTATGGTATAAAAGTATATTGGTGAAATAAATCGATGGCTTAAAACAAACTTATTGTATGTCAGTGAATGTACTTTTTAAGTAAATCGATTTTGAATGTTTAAGCCCCTGTAGCACTGTGTTACATTCAACATTAAACTTTGTATAATTTAATGATACGTCATTAAATGGATATTGAAATGGGTAATAAAAATAAATACCTTGCCTCACGAAAAATTTAAAGAAGGATACTTAAAAAAAGCATGGACATACAATAGTTGGCAATAAAAGTATGGGCATACAAAAACTGTACATCATGATTTTTATTTAATCATTGGACGTTTTATGTAAATACAAATAAAAAAATAGAATATAAATGTATTTATTCGTGTTAACAAAATAAAGAAAGTCAACAGTCTAATTTACTTTCAGAATCACTTTCTATTGGAACTCTTCTTCTTCTGTGCCTTGTCCGTTCCGAACGTTGGCAATCATGGCTATATTTATTATGTCCCATAACGTGACCCAAGTATTCCAACTTTCTTTTCTTTATACTTATTCCTACCTCTCTCTCTTTACCTATCCGGCGTAGTACCTCTTCGTTGGTCACGTGCTCAGTCCAGGATATACGTAATATACGTCGGTAAGCCCACATTTCGAAGGCCTCTACTTTTTTCATCAATGTTGCGGTCATTATCCACGCCTCCATTCCATATAACAAAACCGGGAATACATAACATTTCGGAAGTCGAATTTTGAGAGGTAGGGTGAGGCTTTTAGAGGTGAAAATTTGCTTCATGCTAGTGAACGATGCTCTTGCCTTTTCTACTCTTATATACTTCATCTACAGAGTAAACTACAAGTTGCGGAAAGAGCAATGGAGAGAATTATGTTAGGGATTTCTCTACGTGATAGAATACCCAATGCTACTATACGCAAAATATCAGGAGTAGCAGACGTTATTGAAAGGATAACAACACTAAAATGGAACTGGGCAGGTCATGTAGCAAGATCAGTTGATGACCGGTGGACAAAAAGAATTTTGGAATGGAGACCCCGAATACAAGCATACAGAAATAGAGGTCGACCCCCAACGAGATGGACAGATGACATAAAAAGAGTGACTACAAATTGGATTCAGATGGCGCAAAATCGGACTAAGTGGAAGAGCATGCGAGAGGCCTATGTTCAGCAGTGGATGTTAGAGGCTAGTTGATGATGATGATGATACTTCATCTATTTTAGATAACGACTTACGTCATTATCTACGTCAGAGATCGAAGTTGACATAGTTGCCAAAGTATAAAAAAATCCTGACTCCATTTTAAATCAAATAGATTACATAATTATTGCAAAAGTATTACCATCTCTTTACAACGACTATTTAAATTCTTACGTGATATTTTTGAAATAAAACACCAATTTTGTTCTAAAAAGAACAGATTTTATTAAATAGTTAAAAATATATAACAAGAGATATTCACTTTAAAATTCAAAATAATGAAGTACAAAAAGTGTCAACACCGCAACTGTCAAATAAGTGTTACCAATTTATGCCAAAATTTTACCTTCGTTCGATTACAGTTACAGTGTGTTCCGAACAAATGTTCTTGATACAAACGCTTTATAATGCATTTATACAAATTAAATGAAACATATTATTGTGTATTTCTTTAAGTTAACATTAATAGAAATTTTTAAATATGATCTCTACGCATATATAATAAAATATGTCTAGTGTCTGTAATGTCAGTGTACTCGGTAAAGTGATTCTAAAAAAGAACACACCTACACCCTAAATATTTTGTGTTGGTATCATGTGACGTCACAGGCTATGACGCCGATGACGTGCATCGTTATATAAATTAGATGAAGTTGTACGTATTTCCTTTGCTTGATCCCAATTTGAGTTAACTGTTGTTCCCAAGTAGATGTACGAATCTACGTGTTCAATTCTTTCATTGTCTAATATCAGTTGCTGTGTTGGTTGTTGGGTTTTGCTTACTAACATCCATTTGGTTTTTGTGATATTTAGTCTGAGTCCGTATTGTGCACTTGTTTTTTGTATCTTACTCATTAGGCAACTCAGTTCGTTCATGTTACTTGCTAGAATCACAGTGTCATCAGCATACCTTATGTTATTAATTATTTCTTCATTTATCTTTATGCCTTCTGTGCTTTCCTCCAGCGCTGCCTTAAATACTTTTTCTGAGTATATATTAAAGGGAATAGGAGACAAGATACAGCCCTGTCGTACCCCTTTCTTGATCTCAATTTTATTGGTCAATGTAGATCCTACTTTTACTTTAGCTGTTTAACCCCAATAGAGACTCGCTATTGTTCGAATGTCTCTGTAGTCGACTCCGATCTTATGGAGAACTTCAATTATCTTTTCGTGCTTTACGTTATCGAATGTTTTTGCGTAGTCTATAAAGCATATGTACACGTCTTTGTTCATATCTCTGTAGCGCTGGATGAGTACCTGTAGACTAAAAAGTGCTTTCCTTGTCCTAAGAAAATTCCGAAACCCAAACTGCGAATCTCCAATGTTATCCTCACAATTTTTGCTTATTCTGTTGTAAATAACCGTGGTGTATGCCTTCGAAATGTGGTTAATTAGGCTTATCATCCGATGTTGCACAAGACTTTGCTTTTGGTTTTTTCGGTATGGCAACAAAAGCTGACTCTAGCCAGTCTTCACGAAACTCCCTACTGTTATAAATATTGTTAAAGAGTCTTGACGAGTGAGTCTAGAAATTGACAGTTTGTTTCGCACAGCATTTTCAATACTTCCCCGTATACGTTATCGTTGCCTGGTCTTTTGTTATTTTTAAGACCCTTTATAGCATTCTCCACTTCTGATTTTAGAATAGAAGGGCCAGTATTATCATTGTTCAGTGTATACCCACTAGGACGGTCATCATTAAACAGTTGTTCCACATAAGTTTCCCAAATTCTAACTATTTTGTCGGGGTCTAGTTGTAGATTTCCATTATCATCGCACAGCCCTTTCGGTAAAATATTGTAGCTTTTCTTTGTTGTGAGTTCCTTTATCTTCTTAAGCATATTGTGATAGTCGTATACCTTTTCGCACCGTTCGATTTCTTCGCATCTCTCCGAGAACCATTTCTCTTTAGTTTTTCTTATCTCAGCTCTTATTTCTCTATGGGTATCACATTATTTGGCAGTATCTTTAGTTTTATATATCCATCTCTCTTTCGTCATGTCAAGGATTTCTGCAGTCATCCAGTCTTTCTTTTTTCTCTTATCAGATAGTAAAAACTTAGTGCTTGAAGTCCTAATCTCTTCGTTAAGTTCACTCTATTTTTCCAGCGGTTCATTGTTATTTTAAGGATTTTTGATATTTCGGTATTTAAATTCTCCTGCATCTGTTGTTTATTATTATTGTTGGAAAGCTTCCTAATATCTAGCGTTTCGGGCCTGTTCTTTACATTTGGCTTTTTTAACTTTACTTCAAACTTACATACCACTTACATTGGAACTCTGTCTTGCAAATTGACTTTGGTCGGTAGGGAATCCATCGCGCCTTTGTAGTCTTTTGGTATAACTTCAACATTGCACAAGTATAATAGATCTTTTTTCTAGACGATGGATATTGGTAGTTGCTTGGAGTATTTTTTAATGAGACTTCTTCCCAGGTATGTGATTTTCTTGTACTCCTGCGTGTGGCTGACACATCCGAATAGTAGAAATCTTCATCATACAAGTTATATTTATACTGTATGGTGAAAGGCACTTTTTTCAAAACGAAGCCACTTGAGTTTAAACCACTTAACAGTTTCATTATTCAACTTTGTGTTCATAATCACGAGAGTGGTCAGAGCTTGAAAGTCAATCATGTCCTCATAGCCTAGAACATTTTTTTGTATGACTGTGGTTTGATTCTCGCCATTTCGATAAGGATAGTCCATTCTCGTGTAGAATACACTGATTTGTGTTTTTTAGCCCTCTCGATAGTGGCATGAATTGAATCTACTTCTAAATATGAGTGGCCACTTTCCATGAATTTTAAATCAATCGTATCTAGATTATTGTATTTACCGCATATAACATGGCTGCTGCCATATTTTTGTTGCGATTCTGGCCGCTGCAAGTATCGGAAAATGTACTTACATGTTTGACAGTACTAGGTCCCAAATGTAACAATTACAATAATCAAATATTGTAAAGTTGTAGACAGAAAGTTTGTGTCTACAGTAGATTTGAGCATCACCAACATAGAGCACAGATAAAACTGCCTGCAAGTCAAATGAAATAGATTGAAATGTTACATTTGTCATCTATTGATATAGTGTAGAAGTAAAAATAATTGAATATTTTTTGCATATTTATTAGGTGTATATATACTGAGATAAAAAATTCACATTTTTGAGAATAGCTACTATTCAAACAATGAAATTATATAAAACAAATTTGAATATTAATTTAATATATTTTGTAAAATAATCTAAACTAGATGCGGTATTTATTTCTTTATTCTTTTTAAATTGAACCAAAAACCGCCTTCAGCAGTCAAATTAAACTGTTTCTTTGAGATCTCGACGGGAATCTTGGTTTTTTCCGAAGGAACTAACTCGAAATGCGACAAAAACTTGAACAATACAATTTTGGTTTCAAGCAAGGCAAATCTGGCACCAATGCAGTTTCTGGGACCTACTCCAAAGGGGATGAAGGAATAAGGCTTGATTTTCGATTTGTTCTCTTCATTGAATCGCTCTGGGTCGTACCGTTCTGGTTCTGGAAAATTTTCTGGATCGCGATGAATAGCATAGATAGGAATCCAGAGGGCTGCTCCCACATCTAAATGGACAGGTAC